ATTAATATCAAGTAGATAGCAATCACACTCAGCCTCTGCACTAACAAGATGTCTAAAAACATCTAGGATGCACAATGTGGATCTAATATGGGTCTTACAACATATAATACATAGTTTCAAAGGTGTTACACCATTGTGTTGTCGAATGCGTGACACAAAGATGAAAGATCAGAAGCGAATCACTTGCACCTACAATTTTTTGGCACGCATGCAACGTACCAGGCACAAACAAAGGACTACGACACAAGCACCAGGCAACTCAACACGCATGTACAATGCACAAAATACAGAAACTTGCATTGTCTTGGCTACTATCTAATACCAAGGCGAGTCAGGGACTGCGGTGATGACGCTCTTGACCTGCATGTACTTGTCGATGGCCATCATCCCCTGGTCCCGGCCGAACCCGCTCATCTTGTACCCGCCGAAGGGCGCCTCGGGGTCGAAGGCGAAGTAGCAGTTCACCCACACGGTCCCCGCGCGAACCGACCTCGACACCCGGTTGGCGATGTCCAGGTTCTTGGTGATTATCCCGGCGGCCAGCCCGTACTTGGTGCAGTTGGCCTTCTCTATCGCCTCATCGACCGTCCTGCAGAGTGCAGACACAACCGGGCAAAAGGGCACTTGGTCAGACAGACACTAGAAGGACATGATTCAAGAACCAGTTTAGTTTCCGTCAGGTGACATTGTGAAAGCTTTGGCGTACTTGAACTTCATGAGGGACATCACAGGGCCGAAGATCTCGTCTTGGGCGATCTTCATGTCCTCCTGTGGAAGCCATGTACGTGAGCATGTGATAGTGTCAAACCGTAATCCGTGTAAATGCATGTGATCGATGTACAATTGTTTTTCCCTTGTGTGAGTAATATGATGTGCACACCTTCTTTCTTGTGCATCTGTCTAGAAGTTAAAATTACCTTGACATCTGCAAATATGGTAGGCTCAATGTAGTATCCTTTGTCGCCGAAAGGTTTACCGCCGGTGAGCAGAGTCGCCCCCTCGCTCTTGCCATGCTCAATGTACCTCAGGACCCTCTCAAATTGCACCTTATCAACCTAGATTCAAGCAAAGCAATGGTTGAATTAATCATATGTGAACCTAGGAGTAGTTTTTTGGCGCGTTTTCCACGAATTTGAGCATGGCTAATCAAGAATGAAGGCATAAATGTTACCTGGGGACCCATGTTGGTGGCGACATCGAACGGGTCTCCGACTTTCCAGTTCTGGGCGGCCACCACGGCCTTCTTCACGAACTCGTCGTAGATCCCTTCCTGAACATAAACACGAGACCCCGCGACGCAAACCTCTCCCTAGAAGTTCAGATTCAGATTGCAGTATATATTATATGGTCAGTGTCTGCCTTTTGCTCTGTGGAATTGTTTACTCTTGGTAATTCTATCGGTTTGTGAAGAGAATGACATCTATTGGAGTACCTTGTTGAAGAAGATGGCAAGCCTCGAGAGCTCGACCGCCATGTCAACGTCGGCGTCGTCGAAGATTATCAGAGGCGACTTGCCGCCGAGCTCAAGCGACA